GTAACTTGAGGACTGATTTTTTCTCGACACCGAGAACTACACAATCATTACCACGAACTCCTACCTAAATAAATTCATTCTGATCTTTGGACAAACTAGATTCCGCCATTATGACGTATTTCAACGTTCTACAAGAAGGCGCTACTGAAAATACAATAGGCAAAGTATCTTTGGATGCCACGATGACACTAATTTCAGTAAGGTTAATCTGATTGATGGCATCGTTGATACGAGGATGAATACTAGGCAGTGCTACTGTAATCAAGCTATAATGACAGGCAGCTTTGCAATTGCAAAACAGATAATACATTGTTTATTAGTAATTTTGCGGAACAAAAGTTATATAAAACTTATTTTAAAATTTACCCAAATCCGAAATCACCCATTCTACAAATGTTTTGAAAACAACACGAATAAGTATTATGAATAATTCAGATATCATGAAGACTCAATGGCAAAACGTTAATACCTGGACAATTTTTCATGAAAATACCGAACTTATCATGCGATTTAGGATTTAAGCCAGTAAATTTAATCAAACCCGATCCAAAATTTGTTATTCTCTCAGATATTTGTCCTGATTGGATTGAATCAAAAAAAAAATTATCCGTACTGTCAGAACAGATTTGGTATAGGATATAAGTTCAAAGATCTAAGCATAAAGATGCTTACGATATGATTGCTTTTAAAGAATTCAACGAATGAAAAATTAATGGGAAGTTTTAGAAATAAGTATATAAACGATCGCTCAAAAAGAAATTAGAAATGGTTATACCCAAGTATATGTGCCATTAGTATCCCTGAAACCTAAACAATCGTTTCCCCCGTCCTCGTCCAATCCATGTTGAAACAGCTGTACGATAGTCTTAACGCCATTTTCCGGCATAGTCAATAATTGCATTCCATGTTGAGAATTATTAGACCTATACACAGCCGTTTCACCAGGATAACGCACTTTTGCAGCGTCAGATTGAGAGGTAAGTAATAAAGGATGAACGTCAGAATTTGGTGCCTCACGAATTGATAAGTATGTGAAAAAAACTATCAAGAAAAGTAGAATAATTGACAAGGTATCGACTTCCATGGTTCTTGGTGAGTCTTTAATTATAACGATAACAGCTATTTTAAGCAATTACCAAATTAGCAGATCGTAATAAATGCATGTTACTGTTCCCCTGGATTTCTGGATTTCCAATATTTTTTATGAAAGTATCGGCAAACCGGTTTTGACGATGAAGTCGTGACATTTTTACGCGAAGTTATAAGTTATTACGTAACAGGTAAGTACGTATCGTACGTGCATTAAGTTTTAGGGCAGAATTTATTTTATATAAACTTACACCCTAACCCTAAACCTAAAGTACGACAGATACACCCTCTTAATCACATGTCACATGCTTTGCATATAAGTACAATTTTTTTTCTCAAATTTCTAACTTAACGATGTCTGGTTCATATGATCGCGGTATCTTTACTTTTCTTTATAAATTAATTTTTTTGTTTAAATGGTGAAATATTTAGAGGTTAATACTTTTTTCTCAAAGCTTTGACCGTTTTCTCTCCGGACGGTCATTTGTTTCAAGTCGAGTATGCATTGGAAGCTGTCAGGAAAGGTACTTGTGCGGTAGGTGATTCTATGTGATAGTCTCTGTGCAAAACAGTTGGCTATATCTTTTGTTGTGAAATTAAGTCAATTAAGTGTTATCCGACTATGGATTTATACGATTATCTCTTAAGGACAGTCTTGAATTTATTTAGGTAGGAGTTCGTGGTAATGATTGTGTAGTTCTCGGTGTCGAGAAAAAATCAGTCCTCAAGTTAC